CGGACCTGCAGTATATCTCTGTACTCCGAGGGATGATTAGCCGACAGATTCCCAGCCACGCGCGCAATGCACTTGTAAATGCAATGGAGGCCGTAGGTGTTCCACCCAAACACCAGGCTGGGAGGCTGCGTGGTAGAGCTTTTCACTACTCCTTCTCCACCTCCAGTGACAGTAGCGGTGGCAGCATCAACACAGCGGGCCTCCGCGTCAGAAAGACCGAATGGTGACGTCCAGCAGGCTAAACGCCACAACTGGTCGGCGCGGAGCACGGCCAATTGACGCGAGAGGTAGGTCAAGTCCCGGGTCGATTCAGCAAACATGAAGGGTGCACGACCACTGTGATGAAAAATAATCGGTTAGCCAATTCTCCGAATGTTTAGCAGTCCGTTTGTTGAGCCATTTAACCACCCATTCAAGGTTCTCAGGCATCTATCCACGTTTTTAAGAACGATCAATCAAACTATCTCTACATTTTTAGATACAGAGAATCATGGAAGTGTTTCGTGGGTCATGTCGGGCCCTCGATTTTGAGTTGGTTGCAAACAAAAACGATGTCGCACAGATCAGATATTGTCAAACTGACAAAGACAGATTGACAAAATACAAGAACGGTAAATGGAATAGAGGTGAGGACGATAGAAGGGTAAAAAGAGAAAGGCAGGCAGATACAAGTTCAGATGGGTAGAGGGGCAATAAAAGGAGCTAATGTAGGGACGTACCCGGCATTGAGACGATTGGGTCCGATGGGTGAGTTGGGCAAGAGAAGGCATCCCACAAGAACGGCGAGACGAGGCAAAGCAAAAAAGAGAAGAGGATCGCGCTCCGACAGCTGGCGGGCATCGATCAGACCGACGGAAAGTGCCCACTCCAGCGTCTCCGAGAAGAGCACTGCCACCTCCTACAGATCAGAACAATGGTGTAAGCAGTTGTATGTCGCGTCTTATTCATTTCTTCGGTCAATGGTTTTCCAGCCTAAGCCCTCCTAAATGGCCAATACCACGTACGGATATGGTTTGATGGGACTAATAATCACCAATAATCCCAAGGCTAATCAAATGTCAAGGCCACGGAAGTCTGAATCCACTGCCGGTCTCCGGCAGCGTTCGGTGTGCACGAGTTGTACCGTCCTACCCACGCATACCCGTCTGAGTCGAGGTCTTTGCCGCCTAATTCGTCGGATCAAGGAGCTCTACAGGAACCACATCCATGTAAGAGGACATCAGCTTATAACATACCACCTAATACCAAATTGCCAAACCAGAGATTCATTTAATCACTCAGACACCCCAAACAGTCCTTGACTTATCCATTCATCACCCTGTATATCCACCCTGCCACCAAATCATTCAATCATAAGTCCATCAAGTAATCCATTAACCGATCCAAGTGGTGGCGAACTCGATCGTCCAGATGTTTATCGGACTCTCCGGTCACTTATTCATGTGCTAACAATCAATCCCTCTGACCCTCTGCCTGATCCGATAATCTGTAAGGGCATCAATCCAAACCCTGTCCATCATTTAGCTGTTTCATCCTTCACTCGCATAACAGAAGAGTGAGCAAGCAATGGCAAGTATTCATTATCAGACATACTACTAGAGTGCGAAAAGTAGTATGTGG